ACAAAATTCGACATGTTCAACGTTATTACAAACTATACTGTTGTATGAAACTTGTATTGTTGTGAGTCGAAAATCTTTGTCAGATGTCAGAACAAGGAAATGCCATCAATGACGCGGTCTGACGGCAACTACATTGACAGCTATGGCCATCTATTGGTAAATTCCGGTTTCATATTTACATACCTGGTATGTAATAATATATCGTAAAGTGAGCTTGGTGTACAAAATCTTTGTGCATTCAAGAATCAAAATAAATTAATTTTTCATCGCTAGTCACGATACACCACAAAAAATTCTTTTTTTTTGCCTGACAAAGAAGTCACGATAGACAATCGATTCAAAATGGCATTTTCTGACAACTCATGTGGTAGCCATATCCCTTCTTTATAAATTTTTCCCGTAGCTTGCAAGCGTTTTGAGATGGCCAGTAACAAAGTTGGAGTAACATTTAACGCTTTCGACAACTCTAAAAGCGTTAGAATTGGATCCTCATTGAGCAATTTTTGTAGCTCGACATCTTCAAATTTTTTTGGATGTCCGGGACGTTCTTTATTTCTCACGTCAAAGTCACCGTTTCGAAAGCATTCAAACCAAACTTTACATGTTCTTTCTGATGGAGTTTTATCACCATACACCTTAGATAATAAATGACGCGTTTCAGCTGCGGTTCCCTTACGGAACAAAATTAGTGTCACTACTAGTGTCACTACTAGTGCAATAGTAAATTCGCTAATAGTGTAATAGTGCAATAGTACCGATAACCAAATCGGGAAGGCCCTATACAGACATCGCGTTCCTCTGTACTTCCGAAGAATCCTCCAGTCATACCTGGAGGGGAGGAAATTGATATATACGAATGAGAGCGGCCAAACCGTAGAAAGAGAGGTGGATAGAGGGATACCACAGGGCTCGGTCCTGGGCCCTCTCCTATGGAATCTGGGGTATAACGAGGTCCTCAGAGAGGCTGACCTCCCATCCGAATGCACAGTCGTGTGTTACGCCGACGACACAATCATCCTTGCAGCCGGCGGTGACTGGGAGGATGCCCGGGTAAGGGCGAATGAGGCGGTGCGGTCGGCCGTGCGAAAGATCGAGGACCTGGGGCTCCAAGTGGCGCCGGACAAAACGGATATAGTCGGTTTCCATCGCCGGGGAAAACCTGCGGACTTGCGGATCCAAGTGGCTGAGGTGGAGGTCGGGGTGGGCTCCGGGATTAAGCAGGGTTGTTAAAAAAACATGTTTTTTTTATTTTAAACAAAAAAACATTGTTTTTTTTATTTGGCACAATGTTTTCTGTTTTATTTTGTGTTTTTTTAAGCAACAAAAAAAACATGTTTTGCTTTGTTTAAAATGTTTTTTAAATGTTTTTTTTGTTACTTAAACAAGTAAAAATTATTGTGTGAATATTTTAATCTTTCGTCATTAAGAATAATAAATAATTGAAATTGAAAGAATTAGTTATTTTTATTTATTATTATTGTTAATTTATTTTATTATTAACATGTTTCTTGTTGTGTGAGCGCTTTTCCAAAGTGTACGCGAATTCATTATCGACTTTATTGATTCTGCGGGTAAATTGGGCTGATAAATCAGGAATACTGCATGACCTTTCGAATCTAAATATCATCTCAAT